CGGAGAGTCCACTACCCACACCATCACGAGCGCCCCGTCCAGGCACACCCTCAGCTTCCCGTAAGAAACCGCGTCGCGAGCGCGTGATAGAGGCAGAAGGTATTCCAGACTCAACGCTTTCATCAAGACCGCAAAGAAACCGACAATATCATACAGATGCCACACGCAGTCCTTCAACCTCGCCTCCACCAGAGCCACCTAAAGAAAGGTCCGTCTCACTCCCAAACTCACACTTATACCAAACGCTAACTAGACTCAGATTCATGAGACCAGGTCTCGACCACGATGACAGATATCGCATAGTGGAAGACGAGTTCGTCAACATGGCTCACCAATTCACACTTCACATTCATACTTCTGAATACAACCGTTTGAAGAATTTGGCTAAACACCAAAACGCAGACACAATCCGTGAGATTGAAAGACCTGTAATCGGCGCGCCAACCCTTCTTACAAGACATCGCCAGGAGGATGTTCGCCGCAAAGCCAAACAACGCAAGCTCTTAGGTACTGACGCAAATGAGAAGAAGGACTCCCCTTACGTTGGTTCAAGTCTGCAAGGTCTCATGGAGAGTCCCAGAAAGGAGCACAAGTGGATATCAACAGGTCTGGCTGATACCGCGGCAACGAGAGCTTCAGCGGGTTTCAATTCACAGAAGATTAGCCCGCTACGGTTAAAGCAAGGATCCATTTCATCCTCAGCAAAGAAGAGGCAGATCCCTTTGGGTGATGACGATGAGACTGACGATGGAAATGACTTGGATCTGGCTACACCTTCACGCACTGCAGCTACAAAGGCAGCACGCACGACTTATACATCCAGTCCAGCAATGCCACGATCAGCTCCACGAACATCGTTTAGTACTCCTCGCACACTGAAGTCAGCTATGAACACAACTTCGAGGCCGGGCTCTAGCGTTAAGCGACCAACAACAGCACCTGGGGGAAGCGAAGCACGCAAGGTAACAAAAAGCCGAGACACTGAAGAAGACATCGATGACGACGATCCTTTTGGGATCAACAAACGAAGAATTCAACGTCAGAAGTCAAGGGAACAGTTCCGCAGAACCGAAGAGAAAACACCTTCTAAACCATCACTCGACGATATTCCTTCATTCATCTGAGCACATTCACTGTCACGAAATCTCAACACAGTGGTCCAACAGAGTCTTGTTGCTTGGAAATCAAATCAGTTCTTTTCATTCATGTAGGTCCTATTCTTGCATTGGCCGATCCTCCATTGTAAGCTCATCAAAGTCATCCAGCAACTCATTCATATCAACGTGAGGCGCCTCATCATCCTCCTCAGTCTCAGCCACACTCATCTCCTCCTCGGCTCTCTTCTTAGCCTTATACAGGGCGAGCGTAGCACGGAGCTCCTCGTCTTCCTCGACATCTCGCAAGAACTGCTCGTACTCTTGATCCAAGCGTTCTTGGTCTGCCTTCTTGGGAAGAAGCTCGCCCTCGTCCTTGTCCATACGCTTGAGCTGCCAGTTTCTCTTGCGGTTCTTTCTGCGGCGGGGATAGTGCTTCTTGACTAGCACCACGTCAGGGATTCTCGATGAGTATGTGTTGGAGCTCTCGATCTTCTCATATTCGGTGTTGTTAAAAACGGTTCCGGCCAGCAGGTAACCCATAGCAGAATCACCGGGCTGGAGGAGTCGGCCCAAGTGAGTCCTTGTGAAGTATGTTCGGTCATTTGAACCAAGATCTGAGGCACGGGCGACTGTGGCTTCGGCAAGCGTCCATTTGCCCTTCTGGGTTGCTGTGCGGTCGATATCCATGACAATGAACTCAACGAGTTCATGTGTATCAGTGAGAGACAGGAAAGGAGCTCGCCAATAGATTGGTGAGCTGATATCGCAAGTCTGAAGAGTCTGGGGATCCAACAGGTACACAGAGGTACCGATCTTGTGGCAGAGGAGGAGAGGTGAGATATTGCCGCTTTGCTTGGCCATCTTGATGGGCAGAGCGACCAGGTCGTCTTTACATATAGGCACCAGCTCGGCCGAATATGTGAACTTGTACGACGACTTAGAGGTGTGGGTATCGTGAGAGATGAGTTCCTGCGACGCCTTCACCTTGACAGGCACCACAGAGTTGAGGAAGTCGATGAACTTCTCAGCCTGGTTCTTTTGGGCGAAGAAGAAGTCGATACCATCCTTGGCCTCCCGAATGTTGAGTGTATCTTTGTGTGCGCCGTGCTTCATAATAAGCTGCTCGAGGAAGAGGAAAGTTCGCTTGTGAAGGACCTTTTGACGAACTTGAACAGCAGCTCGCCAAACGTTGGCAGTGTACGACTTGGCACACTCAGGACACTGCTGGTAAGCCACCACATACACAACCTCGAAACTCTGTTGAAGCAGCATGCCATCTTGGACGGAATCCTGGATTGTGATCTTGACCTTGACTCGTCGCGAGTGAGGCTCGGTCCAGATAAAGCTCGCGTCCACGATACGAACTTTGTTCAGACCTCGAAGTTTCTTGAGGCACATGGCTAACAATTCGCGGGATTCGGGGGCGGCAACGATCCAGCTGTTGGGGGGCATGAGCCATCGGTCGCAGTCTCGGCAGAAGTTGAGCGTCGCCTCTCGCTGGACGCCTTGGGAAATGTCGACGGTAAGCTTGATGCAGTCATAGCAGAGAGCGCCACTGGAGGCGGTTCCATCGATCGGGGCACCGCAGTTGCAGCAGAGAATACTGAAGAGACCCAAGTTAGTATTGCGCCCAAGAGACAGAACGAGTGCGGGGTGGTGAAGGAAGATCAAGACTCACGTAGCGGCGCCCTGCTGCTGAGAGGCAGGGGCTATAGAGATAGGCTGGTCATCCAGATCCATCGACATGCTGGGCAACGATGTCGTGTGAAATTTGATGGTGTTGTTTGGGTGGAAATGAATGATGTTCAGTGACTCTTAGAAATCCTAGAGTGGGAGAATTTGGTTCGCCGCCGCTTGATAAGCGCTTATCGGTTGCAGAAAGGATATTTTTTTGCAGGCGCGGGGCAAAAAAATGGAAAATGCAAGTCAAGTGGCATTCTTTCCTCAGAGTCATAAAGTTCAGGGTCCACTTGGCTCCATGAGATTTGGGTCATGCCAATCATTGGATGGCCTTGAATGCATTATATATTTTCAAAAGTCGTGGTTTTGATCAAATCAGGTATTATAGACAAAAGTGCAAAATAATAACGGCTATAAAGATCAGAAAATCTTGCTCAGTACCCTCGTCACCTCGGCTGGTTGGTCTTCCACTTCCGTCTTCTTCTTCGCCAGAGGAACTTGCTTGAACGATCTCTTGACTTGTCGTATCGATTCCTCTCCCTCTCGCTCGCCATCTGCCTTCCTCTTCTTGGCCTTTGCCTTGGCTTCCATGCCGTCCAGCATCTTTGCCTTCTCCACGTTCCTGACAAACTCCTTGTTCTCCTTTGTCGACTTGCTGATCTCGGCTCTCATGCGGCTAGCGCGCTCAGCGTTCTCAGCAGCTATCTGCTCTGTGAGGTTGTGCCATTTGAAACCCTTGAGGTATAGAAGATTCCATAAATCGTCGTGGTAGTAGCTCCCCTTCTTGCCACCAATGGTGCGTGCGTTGAGAAGATCGCATACAGCCTTGGCGTCCTTCTTTTTTGTGAACTCGACCCATCCTTCGGTGTAAGATCGCTTCTTGTTACCGCCAGCGCGAACGCGACGAGCATGTGAGGCTGGGTCTTCAGGGGCGAGGAAGATGCGATTGATGGTTCCGTAGGGTTCGAGGAGAGAGCGCAGCTTGGCGGGCTTCATGAAAGGTGGTATACGGGAGAGGTAGACGACGCCTGACTTCTTGATGGCGGCTTCGGAAGCGACGAGGTTCTTCTTTGTCAATGTTCTTGTGACATCTGGCAGCTCTGTCGAAGTTGTGTCTTTTAACTTGCGCTTTGGCTTTTCCGGTTTGTCGTCCCCCTCCTCTTCCTTTTCTGTTTTCTCTACATCCTTTTCAGCCGGCTCGTCCTCGTCGTCGCTGGCATCGCGTTCGATATCGCTACCCAGATCGTCATCGTCGTCCGAGTCAAGTTTCCGTCGCTTAGCGCCTCGGCCACCCTTTTTCATATCATCATCCTCAGAATTATAGCCAACATCGTTCTCCTCTTCGCTATCAGCTGTATCGAGAAAGTCGTTTTTGGTTTCGGGTGCCATGATGAATGCGATTGGCAGCACTGAGCTTGGGCTGTGTCCAATGTGAGGCTGGAGAATCCAATGTCAAAAAAAAGTAGTCCCTTACTGATAAGATAAGCTGTCGCCGCGCTAGACTGCAGGGATCTGATTCTGAGTTGGAGACGGTCATGTGACTTGGAGGGGTAGCCAACGACGTCACTGATAAGAGACTTGGGGGGAAGAATTGTTCGTGAAGAGCGTTACAGCAGGTTAAGGGATAGTACCATTTGATGTAAAGGCATGGTATTTCCAGAAGCATGATGCTTGATGTGAACTATGAGTGTCCAGTACAGTACTTACCTCTGTGCGGTAGTCGAATTGACTTTAGATGTTCATCTCAATGTACTTGGCATCCAATACCTTTGTCGTCTAAGCTGCTATAAAACAAAGTCTTATCATGGGACTTCATATCGTTATGATCATGCATGTTCTTGAGAGTGAGAAGAGACTTGATTCGGGTCTTGATATCTTGACACCGGTAGTATCATGGGATCACTAGATATTCCCAACTAATTTATGTATCATGTCTTATCAGATTGTAGCGGGGTTGAAGCCGCCGAGTTCGGGTTACGTTGGTTGGTATCCAATACGTGGGGCAACTCAAGCACCGCGAGCCGCGAGCCGCCAACCGCCGTCCGTCATGGACGATGGAAAGTACAAGTACCTACACGTACAGTTCGCTCCCGTCATGACCAGGCATCTCATATACTCCACTTGCACTTCAAAAAAGTGGCCAGCTACAAAGATATAATCTCGTCCACGATCTGTCACTACAATCTCACTCTCTTCCTCACACATACCTAATTATACCCCACAATGTCTCTCGAAGTCATCACCACAATCTCCCCAAACACAAACGAGCCCATCCTTACCAGGAATGGCGCCTCTCAAGCTGACCTTGAGTCTCTCCCCAAGGTCGCCACTGAGGCTTTCCAGAGCTATCGCAAGACAACGCTGAAGGAGCGTCAAGCTATTGTTCGCAAGTTCCTCGATGGCCTCTTGGCTAAGAAGGATGAGCTCGGTGAAGAGTTGACCGTTCAGATGGGCCGCCCCATCTCTTACACACCGGGAGAGGTCGCCACAGCTGTCAAGAGGGGTGAATACCTCCTCAAGATTAGTGATGAGGCCCTCAAGGACACCGACGGCGAGCCCGAGAAGGGCTTCAAGCGTTTCATCCGAAAGGTCCCTGTCGGGCCTGTACTCATCATCTTTGCGTGGAACGTAAGTGCTGGCCTTGTCCCGCTGGACCAGAAGCATCTTTGCTGACTCTGCACAGTACCCTTACCTTATTCTGGTCAACTCTCTCATTCCCGCTCTTCTTGCAGGCTGCAGTGTAATCCTCAAGCCCTCACCTCAGACACCTACCATCGTGGAACGGGTTACCGATCTCCTGAAGGAGGCGGGCTTGCCTGATGGTGTTTGCCAGTACTTCCACTGCGGCTCTCCCACTCTTATGGAGACCATTGTGCGCGATCCCAAGATCGCCCTAGTTTGTTTCACCGGCTCTGTCGCTGGAGGTCTCGCTGTGCAACAAGCTGCGTCTGACCGCATTGTAAATGTCGGTCTGGAGTTGGGTGGCAAGGACCCAGCATATGTTCGATCAGATGTCGATGTTGATTGGGCTGCTGCAGAGATTGTTGACGGTGCCATCTTCAACTCTGGCCAGAGCTGCTGCTCTATCGAGCGTGTGTATGTTGATGAGAAGATTCACGATCAGTTTGTTGAGGCCGTGCAAAAGGTGCTCAAGAGCTACAAGCTCGGTGATCCCTTTAACAAGGAGACTCAGCTGGGGCCTGTCGTTTCAAAGCGATCAAAGCAGACTGCCGAGGAACATGTTAAGGATGCCGTCGACAGCGGTGCCAAGGATGCCACTCCCGAAAACGAGACTTTCAGCAACCCTCCTACCAAGGGTAACTTTGTGAAACCCACCCTTCTGACCGGCGTCAACCACAGCATGCGGGTCATGACTGAGGAGTCGTTTGCCCCAATTAGTAAAGATCTCCGATGACAGTTTGAAGACGGTTTGCTGACAAGAGATACAGTCCCTGTTATGAAGGTCAAGGATGACAGTGAGGCCGTCAAGTACATGAACGACAGCGAGTTTGGCCTGACAGCCAGCATCTGGACCAAGGACACAGACAAAGGATACGAGCTTGCCGAGGATGTGGAAGCCGGCACTGTATTTGTCAACAGATGCGATTATCCGGCACCGGTACGTTTTCTGATCCAAGCACAAAGGGTCTCTGCATTACGTGATTACTGACTGGCCGACAATAGGATCTGGCATGGACTGGCTGGAAGAACTCAGGCAAGGGGCAGACACTCAGCAAGTTTGGATTTGATCAGTTTGTGAAGCTCAAGAGCTACCACCTGAAGGACTACCCAAACTAAACTAGATAGAGAGGTCGCCATTGTTGATCGAACCCGGTCAAGGTGACTGACTCTGAATAATGAGACGACGGTCTGTGTTGACATGAATCAAACACTTGCTGCAAACAATCTGATACTGCCATGATTAAGAACGGAGCACCGTGGTTTGAGTGCACATCATTTCTCTTAGCGACTGTCTCTAGGAAGTGTCTCCCCTGGCGAGGCGGGCAGAGGCGGGCAGGGCAGAGCAAAGCAGGGCAGAAGCGGGTGAGACGAGACGTTTTCGATAACGGGCGACCAAGACAAAAAAAGAGGCACGTTTTGGTCGTTCTGGGGAATGTTGAGTTGATGAGGGATTGCTGCATTCGGTAATCTCTACGGTGAGTCGAACAATCTGCGACAACTGACACTACGTGGCCTTGTACGGGCAATTTACTTACCTAGTCACTGATGGTAAAGTGACTTAACGAAGTAACAGAGGAGATAATTGCTGAAGCTATTCAATAACTGTTCATTTCCTCGCCCTGGATTGAGTTGGCGACTTTTCCCGCCTCCCTTTGTCGGTGTTGCACGAGATTAGGCTTGGGGCGCCACGCGAGAGGCATTGAGTATATGATATTCGACCCCCTTGTACATGGACGCAATTTATCAGAGGCAATAAATCCCACACAAAGGACATGATTTAATTGCAACCGTGCACTTTTTCGTCTCTACTATGGTATAATGTCACTTTTATGTTAGTCTCGATATAGTCTCCCACGTTGGGTTCTCCTTGCGGCCCTTTTTTTCCCTGTCCTCTACTCTGCTCTACTATCCCGTCGCACCATGCAGCGTCGTTCAGCTGAGACATTCACCTTCCCCTGGCCCCAAAATTAGGTGCCGTAGTCCAGTGCTATAGGTTGTTGGTGGCGGGTTTGCACAGGACCCGAGACGCTGGAATTCCAGTGACTTGGATGCATTCCAGAAGGAGACGGCAGCGTAGCGTTGACCCCTGGCGCTTAGACGGTTCAGGGCGGTCTGTCACTGCTGATTTGCCTGTTTTCACTGTGTGTGTGTACGTACGTGCGTGCGTGCTTGCATGCAAGTGTGCGTTGTGTTGCATGTGTTGTCTGCATCTGCAGTCATCTCTTGGATAGGTAATTTTCCTTTTTTTTTGTTTCCCTTTGTTCAGTCTCGTATATTTAATTAATACAAATGTACATATCCTCCTCTGGCTAATTTCTTGTTCCGTTCTTGTGCTGTTACATCTCTCTAACCATCACATTCCTTTCCTTCATCAACTGTCCTGTCCTGTCCTGTCCTGTCCTGTGAGGCTTATTATAGACCAACCTCCAGACTGACTTGACTGACTGTCTTTCACTTATACACATTCTCTCCTCTCAACCTCGTCCCCTCCCCCATCTTATCTGCCTTGCATACCTCAACTCTCTCTTCGTACCTGAGACTCGGATGATCCTCTTTGTATCAAAAACATACCAGAGTTTAACTCCACCAACCACTCACTCGCTCGTTCTCCTACACCACCACTAAAGAGCCACATACATGCCTTTCCCCATCTGACATCCACTTCTTTGTCCTCCTCTAGACCGTGAATTTAAAGAAAAAAACGAGGCTTCTTTTTTAATTTCCCGCCTTTTTCTCTCTCTCATACAAGAATTCCAATCTCGTACCTTTTTCAGTCAGCCTCTTGTCTCCCAACCCTTCTTTTAAACCTCATCTCAGCTTGCCTCGTTCCATCTTTGCTTCTTCCCCAATTCTAGAACAACTCTCCACATACTCACTCACAACTACAACTACAACTACAACTACAACTTCAAACCAACCACCTTTTCGGGGCTCTTTCTATATAAGAACCCTTTCAACCCTCAAAGTCGTCTTGATGGGATCCGCTGCTGTTTATCCTTCCGAGAGACGTGATCCTCGGTGCTTTAATCTTCCCTTGAATCGACTTCGATCTTCAAGGATGCATATCTCGGATGACTTCCAGACACTGTGCGAGCGTGTCCAAACAATGGTTCGCCAACGACGCCGTAAGGAGAAGCGCCACATGGAGATTGTATGTCATGTCTATACTATCAAACCATCTTGTTCTTGACTAACCCTCTATCTCTCAGTCTGCACCTTTTGGCTTCGAAAAGAACCCAGTCAACCTCCCAGGAGTCTCAGAGGAGCAGTAAGCCAATACTTGTTCAACCACTACAAGATCGATACACTAACAATACAAAGACTCTCTATGCTTCGAGAACAAGCCGCCGCCAGTCGAATTGGCATCGCAGACCCTCCCAGCCCTACCGCCCCTCGCTCGCCCTGTTCAACCTCGAGCCTCTTCTCCCATCCAGTCCGGCCACCCATCAAGACTGCCCCAACATCTACTTCTCTCTCGTCCACCGACAGCCTCCACTGATCGAGTACGGACACTAATCATTACTATTGTTTTTACCGCTATTAGAGGTTTTATCAGGGGCGTCTTAAGAAAGGAAACACAACACTGGCTTGGGTCTATGGAAAGGAACAGCTGTACGATACACATGGGATGGATTGGAATGGAATGGTAACGAAATTGGGCGGATCATGGAGAATTGGGCATCTACGGGACCACGGGAACGGCAACAGCAAAGGCAACATTACAGAATATCATCATACCCGGCGTAATCTAATCTGATTAATTCTTTCACCGACATTACTGCTCTCAACTTCTCTCGCCGATGCCCCTAAATTAAGGGTTTTGTGCTAAGCTGGACCAGTGTCTGTTAGGAATGTGAAAGGAACAATGTCGTTGACGGGGGGAGTGACATGTTGTTTCATTTGGAGGTCTAAGACATGCATACATGCACGCATGCGTCCGTCCTCGCTTCTCGCTACTATATTCTAGATTACTGCTAATCTTTTAGATCCAACCGGCGTACACGTCCAGACTCTCGGCGCGAACTCCCTCCATCTCCCCCTTAACGCTTAGTAGCTTAACCTTTGTACCCTTCTCCTTAGCCCACTTGTCCAGGAACTCCCCAACTCCCTGCTTCGTTTCCTCATCATCCTTCATCAGGAGAGCTAGGGCGTCGTAGCCGCCCGCACCGGGGACGACACCGCCGCAGACCCCTTCAACGGTGCTGAGGGCGTCGAGGAGCTCTGTCTGGCTTTCTGGCTCAATGGGGACGTCGCTGGCGCTACCCATTTGTCTAATCATCTCTCGAACAGCGGTAATCTTCCCCGGCAGATTCTCGACGTCCCCGGCATTGAGAGTAGCAATCAACTGCTCATTGCGCTTCTGGAGCTCATCCCAAAGCTTCTTTGACTCTTCTGGATTCGATGACCTCCACTTGAGGACCTTCTTGACCATGCCAACCGTCTTGCTTCCACAGTCCACATCGCACATACGCAGAACAACGCCCTTGGGCATGATGACTGCATCCTTGAGAACCTCTACATCCCAGGCAGACTCGCCGTCGACGAGCTTGACCAACGCGGCGGCGAATCCGGCCGCACCGGGCTCGGGAATTGAAGACAGTGTCTCGGGAGAGAAACGTCTGTATCTGCAAGACCCGTAGACAGCGGTCGCAACGTCGAATCCAGAACCGACCTTACCTTGCGCAGCACAATGGGCAGCCTGAGCCAGGTTGTGAAGCGTCCTCTTGCCCTGGTCAGACTGAAGGTTGAAGAGATCTTCTGGTAGGTAGTGAGCCAGGAGGGCAGCAGTTAGTGAAGTGACGAGAGCAGCAGATGAGCCAAGACCCGTCTTATTAGCATCTCCCAAGGTCACGGGGAACTTGGCAAAGCGCCCTTGACGTGTGCTCTCGGATTCAGAGTGCGAGTAGTAGTCATTGTCTGCGAGAATGATGAGACGAGCGGAGGCCATGCTGTGACTAGGACGATGCTTGGCTACTCGGTCGATGTAGGTGAGTGCATAGCTGAGAGTTGTCTCCACGAAGGGGTTGGGATTGATTTGTGCTCCGCTACTGATGAGTGAGTAAGATGAAGTAATTGCGTATAAGATAGAGATCCCTGTGAGGAGTTCGCGATTGGCTTTGCTCATGTGACGATTACATCTATCGCTTTGAGGACTGGCATCTCATCCAGTTTCATCGGCAGGGACACAGCCTCCCACCATTCACTCATTCATATGGAGAAAAAGTCACTTACACCTGCAACTGGGTAACTTTGATACCACCTCCCTCACCAGCCAGGTGATAACCATACCGCCATTGAGCCTCGAGGAATTGCGGGCTATCAACCACAATCTCAGTGAGCTGAACGCCAGCAGTCGTGTGAATGTCCCCAGCAATAACGTTGATACGAGCGTCGAGGCCGAATACAAAAGCCGTGTACTCCTGGTCCAGCACGAGATATCCGCCAGCGAGGAAGACCTTGCCGGGAGCTGAGACAGCGATGGTGGGGTGGTGGAGGGTCATTGTATATGTGATATTTATATAAGAAGCCTTAAATTGTCAGGAAATGAGGAACGTTAGATATTCAGGTGGTTTGGTTGAGCAACAGACAATGCAAACAGTCACTCTCTCAGTCGTGAGTAAGCTCCTTACTTGAATGCATGAGCAACGCAACCCAACGGATGAGAAGAATCATTAAACCCCAGCGGGGCCTCATTTCTAGACTATACAGTGCTTGCGATTTTAACACTGTGAGCTATTCATAGCCACAAGACAGACAATCACCCAATAGCAGCAGAGTTCATCAGAGTTTCAACCAAGAGAACACCAACAGCATCGTGATGATGCCAATTAGACGTCATGCAGTCAAATGATAAAAGCCTCATGTTACTGCGTGTCCCAGTCAGGGTATGGCACCTTTGGACACAACCACCAAAACTTCATATGCTCAAATCGCATCACTACAAGGACAGCTTTGTTTGATGACAAAATTGCCATTTCTTCATTTCTTGTATTGTATTGGTGGTACAAGCAGCAGGACCACATGCTCTGCTTTTCCTTGGACCAATTCTCTTCTTGGCCTTCATCTCTCCTCCCAGCTGGCCCTGTTCCCTGGCTCTTTTGGTCCCTCTATGCTGC